GGTAGAGCGCTAGCCTTGAGCTGAAGAGCTGAGGGACAGCGCCCAGGCCCAGAGTTCAGGCCCCACGACCGGACCCAAAAAACAAACAAACAAACAAAAAACCAAGTAGTCTATTAGAGCTAAGAGTCTTAAGGACTTTCCTGCCCGAGCTGACTTTGAACCATGACCCTCAGACATGAGCCACTGGTGCCCAGTAGCAAATAGCCTGTGTCCTCGCTGTGTCCCCCGCTGTGTCCCGCTATGGATGTTCTACACTCATCCTATGCTGACACTTCCAAATTGTTTTCAGCAACCAGAAAGTGGAAGTGAGAGCACAGTACCAATCTCAATGGCTAGTTCTATCTGCGCTAGCAATAAGCAAACTAGTTGAACTAATAAGCAAAATGCCTGGGGTGCAGTAAGCTCAGGGTTAGTGCTCACTGCCGCTATTCCCCTGGCATCCTCAGTTATCATCTGAGGAGAAGCCCTCATTCCATTCTCCAGCCCCTGCGGCTGAGCCACCGCCTGCTCCTCCAGCCACCTGGCCATGGCTTACCATCTTTGCCAGTTCCTGAAGGTGTGCCAAGTCAGTGGCCTTTGCAGTCTGGAGAGCAGTTAATTCATTCTGTTTCATTTCTGTGTCTTTGTCAAATTTCTCCATCCAGTACTCTAGTTTCTCCTCAAGTTTCTATTTGGAAAGAACACAAAAACATGGCTTCTATCAGATACTAAACAGCTTAGATTTTTAGCTTTCATTTATTTATAAGGTTCAAAAACAAGCAAAACTTTCTCCAGTGACAGACCACAGGTTACTCATGGATGAGGGCGCTACTGGCTAGGGAGACTGAGATGACGTGATCTGTCTTTATACCCGGGCAATGGTTAGATGGGTATGTTTACATAAATGCTCACCTAACTGTCCATGCAGTCTCATTCTGTACTTTTCTCTGTATGCTACTCAACTTAAACGTAGGAAGAGGGCCTTCTAGATGTCTGGGGAAGGAAAATTGAACTAGAAAGGTGGGTTGAAAATTCTGAAGGAGAGACTAGTATTTGATCCTGTTTATAAGAATGCACACGCAGGGGCTGGGAAGGTGGCTTAGTGGTAGAGTGCTTGCCTTGAATGCATGAGGCTCTGGGTTCCATTCCTCAGACCATATAAGCAGAAAAAGCTGGAAGTGGCGCTGTGACTCAAGTGGTAAAGCACTAACCTTGAGCTGAAGAGCTGAGGGACAGAGCCCAGACCCAGAGTTCAGGCCCCATGACCGAGGAAAAAAAATGCACATGAGGCACATGCATGTGCCCACACAAGCATGCTAAGACTAGAATACTTGAACAGGAGGTCTTGCTCTGCTTTTTCTGCTCACATTCTACCAGCATTTGAGCCAGACCTCCACTTCCACATTTTTGCTAATTAATTGGAGATAACAGTCCTTTATTTGTCTGCCTGGGCTGGCTTCAAGTTGAGAACCTCAGATTTCAGCCTCCTGAGTAGCTAGGATTGCAGGTGTGAGTCATGATGCCCAATTGAGATGCCTTTTTGGTTGCCAGCACTGACTAGTAGCCAAGAAGAGTCCAAAGTTTTCAGAATCTCTCTCTGTCTCTCTCTGTCTCTGTCTCCCTCTCTGTCTCTGTCTCTCTCTCTCAAAAAAGATATTAAGTCCATAGGAATCTAACATTCAAATTTGAGCCAGATGCTCATGTCCCTTACCTACTAAAGAGGCTGAAAATCTGAGGATCACAGTTCAAAGGCAGCCCAGGCAGAAAAGTTTGTGAGACTCTTATCTCCACTAACTACCAAAAACCTGGAAATGGAATTGTGGCTCAAAGTGGTAGAGCACTAACCTTAAGCACAAAAGCTCAAGTACAGTGCCCAAGCCCTGAGTTCAAGTCCCAAGACCAGCACACACACAAAAAAGAAGGGAACCAGTTCCAGATAGGAGTGTCCAACTAAAGTGTGATGATACAATCTTGTATTTATCCTATTTGCATTAATTTCTACTTAAGGCAAGTGACATTGGTTTTCTTTTTTTAAAAAAATTGTGCCTATAATACTGGGGATTGAACTCAGGGCCAGAGTGCTCTCCTTTGGCTTTTTCACTCGAGGCTGGTGCTTGACTGCTTAAACCACATCTCTACTTCCAGCTTTTTGGTGCATAATTTGAATAAAAAGTCTTTTGTTTTGTTTTTTGGTCCGGTCGTGGGGCCTGAACTCTGGGCCTGGGCGCTGTCCCTCAGCTCTTCAGCTCAAGGCTAGCGCTCTACCACTTTAGCCACTGCACCACTTCCGGCTTTTTTTTTTCTTTTTGCTTATGTGGTACTGAGGAATCGAACGCAGGGCCTCATGCATGCAAGGCAAGCGCTCTACCACTGAGCCACCTTCCCAGCCCTGGAATAAAGAGTCTTATAGACTTTTCTGCCCAGGTTGGCTTCAAACTACCATCCTCACATCTCAGCTTCCTAAGTAGCTAGGATTATAGGCATGAACCACCCATGCCCAGTTGGTTTTCTTCTTTCTCTTTTTTTTCTTTCTTGCTTTCTTTCTTTCTTTTCTTTCTTTTATTTATTTTTTTTTTTTTTGCCTGTCCTGCTAAGGGTCTGGGCACTGTCCCTAAGCTTCATTTTGCTCAAGGTTAGCGCTCTACCACTTAGCGCTCTACCACTTGAGCCACAGTGCTACTTTATGCTTTTTCCGTTTATGTGGTAATGAGGAATCAAACCCAGGACTTCATGCATGCTAGGCAAGCACTCTACCACTAAGCCACATTCCCAGACCCATGTTTTTCTTTTTATGTAATGAACAGAAAATTTTAATTTAAAATAAATTTTGTTGTGTTAGGTGAGTCATGATGAGGGAAAAAAAATAACTCAGATGTGTGAAGAGGTTAGAAAGCCAAGAAAGTGGTATGTAGATAATTGACTGGGCCAGAGAGCAAAATAAAAAACTCCATCAATCCAAGGAAGTGAAAAAACACTAGCAATCCTGAAAAATAATTCTGGTTGTGGTGACTCACACAGATACTACGGATTTAAGACAAGGAGGATTGTGGTTTAAGGCCAAAGTGCAGGTGAATATAATAGTACATTTTGAGGGGCTGGGAAGGTGGCTCAGTGGTAGAGCACTTGCCTTGCATGCCTGAGGCCCTGGGTTCGATTCCTCAGCACCACATATGCAAAAAGAGAAAAGCCGGAAGTGGCGCTGTGGCTCAAGTGGTGGAGCAATAGCCTTGAGCTGAAGAGCTGAGGGACAGCGCCCAGGCCCAGAGTTCAGGCCCCACACCAGACCCCCCCACAAAAAAATAGTACATTTTGATTTACTGGCATGTTATATTTTTGGCAGTAGTGGGATTTGAATTAAGGGCCTTGCATTTGTTAGGCATGCATGCTACTGCTGGCTCTCGCCTACAGCTCTTTTTTTTTTTTTTTTTTTTTGCAGCAGTTATTTTAAAATGAGGTCTTGTTTCCTGTCTGGCCTGTCTGTGCCTGAACCATGATCCTCCTGCTTTTTGCTTTCTACCATAGCCAGGATATCAAGCCTGAACCAAGATTCCCAACTTCAATTGAAAAGCCCTCCTGGGCTGACCGGAATCGTCAGGCCTCCTGCCCTCTCCCCTGTGTGCACCATGATTAGTGGAGAAACCGTGTCATCTGTATGCCCAGGCAGGCCGAGAACCAATCATTCCTCTGATCTCAGCCTCCCAAATAGCTAGGATTGGAGGCTTTGAGCCACAGTACTCATCTTTATTAGCATAGTAATGGAGAAAAATATGTCGCCTTAATGGATAACTTTAAAAATAAAAGCCTTGGGCAAGTTACGAAATTCCTGAAGAATAGATCTCATGAATAAAACAAAACAAAAACCTTCCTATTTGTGCCAGTTAGCAATTTACCACTTCTCAGCTCCTAATTCATCCTTCACTGAAACCTTGCTTGGTAAAACCTTGGATTTTGCCAGTAGAGGGCAGTAGAGAACATGCCAGGAGGGCTTCTCTTCCTGGTTCCTGCCTGTTGCGGGAGGGGCAGGAGGGGGTGGGTAGGGGAACACCCATTACCCATTCATTAACACGTCTGATGACACCACGGCCAAACATATCAATTTAAATATGACTCAACTTTAGCAAACCTCTTATCATCTGAATGAATGGAAACAATCTCATTTGGTGGGGGGAAGAAATTAGCAAACTTCACTTTCCTGCTTGCTAGCTTTATCTTGGCTCCAGGAAATACAGCAAGGTCTCTACTGCCCTGGAGGCCCGGCCACACACTCTCCTGTGAATATTAGCCTGGGAAGGATCCTACCCTTCCAGGATCTCCAACTTTTTTCTTTTTCTTATTGTCAGTTGTGGGCCCTGAACTCTGGGCCTGGCCACTGTCCCTCAGCTCTTCAGCTGTAAACTAATGCTCTACCACTTGAGCCTCAGCCCCACTTCCGGCTTTTTCTGCTTATGTGGTGCTGAGGAATCGAACCCAGGGCCTCATGCTTGCAAGGCAAGCGCTCTACCACTGAGCCACCTTCCCAGCCCCTAGGGCCTGCAACTTTACACTTTTCTTCTATCAGTCCAGGCCCTGGGCTATTCTTTAGAGAGAGAGAGAGAGAGAGAGTGTGTGTGTGTGTGAGAGAGAGAGAGAGAGAGAGAGAATACTCAGGGCCTCTAGCTCTTGCTTGGATTCCTTCCTCACCTTCCCCAAGATTGGTACTCTACAACTTGAGCCACACCTGGCTTTTTTGCTGGTTAACTGGAGATAAAGAGTCTCACAGACTTTTTCTGACCAGGCTGGCTTCAAACCATGATTCTCAGATCTCAGCCTCTTTTTTTTTCCCCCCTGTCTATTGTGGGGTTTGAAATCTGGGCCTGGGCGCTGTCCCTCAGCTCTTCAGCTCAAGGCAAGCACTCTACCACTTGAGCCACAGTGCCACTTCCGGTTTTCTGGTGGTTTATTGGAGATGAGAGTCTCACAGACTTTCTGCCTGGGCTGGATTTGAACCATAATTCTCAGATCTCAGCTTCCCGAGTAGCTAGGATTATAGGCGTGAACCACCAGCACCTGGCTCTTTTTTTTTTTTTTTGGTCAGTTGTAAGACTTTAACTCAGGGCCTAAGTACTGTGCCTGAGTTCTCTTTTTTTTTGGGGGGGGGTCCAGTTATGGGGCCTGAACTCTGGGTCTGGGCACTGTCCCTCAGCTCTTCAGCTCAAGGCTAGCACTCTACCACTTGAGCCACTACGCCACTTCCGGCTTTTTTCTTTTTGCTTATGTGGTGCTGAGGAATCGAACCCAGAGCCTCATGCATGCAAGGCAAGCACTCTACCACTGAGCCACCTTCCCAGCCCCTGAGCTCTTTTGCTGAAGGATAGCACTCTGCTACTTTTAGCCACAGAGCTACTTCTTGTTTTAGAGTAGTTAATTGAAGGTCAGAGTCTCACAGGGACTTTTCTGCTGGGCTGGTTTTGAACCACGATCCTCAGATCTTAGCTTCTTCAGTAGCTAGGATTACAGGTGTTGAGCCACCAGTGTCTGGCAAAAGTTATCTTCCATCCCTGTGGTAGCCAGTCCCTTTTTAGTGGCTTATGATTCTTCTGTTAAATTTTCTCTTCTCAAATTATTGATATGGTTTGTCACCTAAACGGATCGTTAATAATACAGAATTGATGCCAGAAGTGGAATTTTTCTCCTAGCCTCTAGTTCACATCTCCCTCACTAGATGTCATCTGAAGTCCATGTTACTTTCTGACCATCAGATGCCATCAGAACAGTGCCATCAGTGCAGCGGGCAACTATACTGTCCTGTACCAAGTCAAAGCAAGCAAAATATCTGGAGACCACATGATGGGAGCAAAAAAGAGAATGGAGGTGGTATGGATGTAAGACTGGAGGTACTCGACCCTGCCAGGTGAAAGTAAACTTCTCCTGGTGGGTTAGTTTGTTTTTGCTTTGGAAACAAGAGCTTTGACCAGCTTGACAACTAAATACCAATTTCCAGAGGCTGGTGACAATTTGCTATAGTAATATATTAGATATGAATAGTAGCTGCAATTGAAGTCACTAGCTAATGACACAGAAAATAAAGTCACTTCCAAGAGCCATTCAACCTCTGCCAGGCAAAACAGTGAAGTTAAAGGGTATGGTAAGAATCACCAAGCTGGGTGGTAGTGGTAGACTGGCTGCCTAGCATACTTGAAGCCCTGGATTCAATTCCTCAGCACCACATAACAGAAAAGGCTAGAAGTGGTGCTGTGGCCCAAGAGTGGTAGAGTACTAGCCTTGAGCAAAAAAAGCTCAAAGAAGCTCAGGGACAGTGCCCACCAGGCTCTGAGTTCAAGCACAGGATAGGGATACACACACACACACACACACACACACACACACACACACAATCAGTGGATAATTTTGGTAACTCACCTGTTGCTCTTTTCTAAGGAACACTTCAATCTCCATATGAGTTCGGTTCTCTTCTTCTGTTTTCATCCTTAGTTTCTATAAGAACAAGAATCAAATACCAAATACAAAAACTTCTGGGATCAGGGGCTGAGAAGGTGGCTCTGTGGTAGAGCGCTTGCCTTGCATACCTGAGGCCCTGGGTTCAATCCCTCAGCACCACATAAGCAAAAAGAAAAAAGCCGGAAGTGGTGCTATGGCTCAAGTGGTAGAGCACTAGCCTTGAGCTGAAGAGCTGAGGGACAGCACCCAGGCCCAGAGTTCAGGCCCCACGACCAGACCAAAAACAAACAAACAAACAAACAAAAAACTTCTGGGATCAGAAATTTTCAGGCAACAGGTGCAGCTGAGAACAGCAAGTTTCCTCGGCAGCTAGGATCCAGAAATGCCAAGGCTCCCTTCAACTCCATTGGCATTTCGCAAGCACAACTGAAGGTTGGCACCACCTTAACTATATGCAAAGTCCCCACACACAACCACAATCCTGTCACCCAGAAAGTAGTATCTGTTTAAGGAGAAAAATAATGCTTCAAAGGCACAAGATTCTTAGGCCCAGGAAAGGGAATCCAGAGCACAAATGAAGTGTTTTGTCAGGTCGTGGGCACCATCTAGGGGTGAGCTTTCACATAACAGAGTCTTCTACACGTTCATGCCTCCCCCACCCCCCATTTTTCTTCTAGTGTTCTCAGTCTGGCCTCAGATTCCCAATCCTCTTTTATTACCCTCCTACTTTTTTTTTGTCGGTCATGGGGCTTGAACTCTGGGCCTGGGCGCTGTCCCTCAGCTCTTCAGCTCAAGGCGAGCACTCTACCACTTGAGCTACAG